ACAGCTTTTCTTTTCACATGTCTCATCACATCTGTTTGGATAAAAATTTCATTAGTGATGCGCAGTGTGCTTCATGGGTCACCAACATCTGCTGACCACAGCAAGGCGCAACACCACGCGAGCTTTAAAGCGGCAGGAGACAGCTTGAAGCTGAGAGGAGAGGATGGGACAGGAAAGAGGAAAAAGACTTCACCGCCTTGGAACCGCTTCACTCGATATGTGACGGAGCATCAGGGGCGCATTAATGTTCATTTCTCACATCACATTTTCATGTCAGCTCTTTACAAAAGGCTGACAGTGACAAGTGGGAGATGCAGTCTTTTTTGATGAGAAATCAACATGACATCTGCTCATTTGCTGATGACATCACTTCATACTTTCACGTGTTAAAATTGACTTTCACCTGTCAAAAAGCCCAAAGAGTGCTAATTGCTTTTTAGTTCTGTGGACCAAGGCCAATATTGTGATGGTAAATGTTTAACCTTTAATTTGATAGTGTAATGATAATATTAGTTATATCATGGAGAACTGTATTTGGAAATCCAGTGTCCAAAGCTACTGAAAATCAGAAATTGTTTTCTAGATAGGGAAAAAGAGCAGACCCTTTCAATAAATATGCAGGAAAATATATTTTTAAAAGGAGCATGAATGCAAACATTTTGTTGAGTCGAATGTTACATTACTGGTTGTTATTTTTCTATAATACATTTAAAGCATTGTGAGTGTTGATTTATTATTTTAATTATAACTTCACTTCTGGCTCACTGAGCATTCTTGGATTAATTGCTATCTAACGAAAACAGTTCAGACCCGAAGTCACAAATTACGTAAGAGGGAATATGGTGTTTGTTTTTCATTCAACACTTATAGGTGAGCTATTTATAGACTCTGTTTGAAGAATGGCAGTCTCAAAGTGTCCCAGATTCAGCTGAGTCATGCAGTCACTGCGCCGATCATAATTGGAGATTGTGCACAAGTAGTTTCAGAGGTTATGGGGACGCTTCTGTTGCTTTTGAATGAGTATATTAGTAAAGAAGTCATACTTCTTTTTCTTCAGTGTAATGAAAGGGAACAAAGAAGGCACCTGTCAGAGTAGTCAGTGGGGACAGAAGAGGAAAGGCTCAAAGGGGAAGGAATAACAATGATGTGCAAGCTTAATTTATAAATTGTCAGTCCTCGTTTATCTTTTATTTGACAGACTCAATGTGTCCTCCTCTGCATCCGAAAAGGTGGACGGTCAGTTTATCTTTTGGAAGCAGATTTCTTATCACAATTTTTTGGGGGACTAAAACCTCTGTATTCATGAGGCTGACTGCTGAGTAAATGAGCTTAAAATGAGATAGGTTGTGGAAAGAAAGCACAGCTAACGGGAGTTTGTGTACAGGCCGAGCTGACGTTCAAAGAGAGAGCGTCCGCCTTCGGTTCCCCTGAATTAATTCAGCTTTGCAGCTCATTTTCTTCAGTGCTTGGGTGTGTTGACAAGGAGCTAGCGCGTTTCTTCTGCTCTGATAAAGAGGCACTGCTTTATTCAGGCACAGCGTCTTCCTCTTCCTCTGTAAAGAAACCTATCTTGGTGCTCCTTGGAGGCAGGTTTGCACCTAGCAGGGCTCGAATAGTACAGAAACCCAGTTGGATAGAATTGACAGTTTGGCCTGTTTAACAAAGGAGAATATAGTAACCCAGTTCCCCACCAGACTAGCATTAGATACCTTGTAAGTCATTAATTAGGTTCATCCACTGTGGGAGGTGATGCTGTCCCTTATGAATGGAAATAATTGGGTTGGGTGGATGATATTTTTAACAATCCTTTGTCCAAATGTTGTGTCGTTAAACCTCGGTGTGCTTTGGAGGAAAGCCTAAAGAATGAAGAGGAGGAGTTGTAGTAAATCATAATTAGTCCACCTCAATCCTTCTTACTTCCTATTACCATCTTATCTCCTCCAAATGTTTCATCGCCTGCTCCTTTCCAAGTCTTTCTCCGTGGCTTATCTGCCTCCTTCCCATTCTCTCCTCCCCTCTTTCTCGTCTTCTCTCTTCCCATCATTCTTCTCCTCATTCAGAGACAGCCAGATATCAGCCTCTCTCCCCGATAACAAATGAGCAGTGCCCGTCTTTGTGGATGACTGACGGGTCACGTGCGGCTTGCCTGGCCTTTACCTGAGTGTTTCTGTCAGAGCAGCGATTGGGGTGGCCAATTATGGAAGAGGCTCAATCAATAACCCCGCTTCTTTCTTGTTCTCCGTGAGTCTTCTTGCCCTCGCTGCCTAAATGACTGGTTGACCAGCCATGTGGGAATGTGTTTCGGTGATTGCGAGCTGCTCCAAGTCCTGCATAATGATGCTTTGCTTGCAGCCGCAATCCAGATAGCATGGACACAGTTAGCAGACACCGCCCACCCCACCCCCACCCCCCCATAGGTGGTAGCCGCTAAAGTCTGTCCAATCGCTCTGTGTATGGGTTTTTTCCCCCAAAAAATCTATCTGAATTTGATATCATCTCAAATGTTCACCCAGGCATTTTCTTGTTAGTTGCTTCTGTTTTGCTTCTACAGTGGCAGATGTGACACGAACATCTGGAAGCACCAAATAGAATTTTCCTTTCTTTTCCCCCGTCATGCTACATAACTGAGCGAGGTGGATCAGAGACAGGACTTAAAGGTTTTCTCATTTTCGCTGCACCCTTCCACAAGTGCAGTTAGAGACTGCTGACTTGAGTCAATGCTGCCCCCCCTTGTCCTATCATCAAAGTAAGATGTAAATGAATGGAAGCCCTCCGGTAATAAGGAGGTGGTTTGTGGAGGCTCTTTGTTTCAGTAATCCCCTCCCCAAAAAAAACTGGTGTTGCTCCTGCATCACAAATCAGCATTCGATTCATAGCATGTTCTTTGTGAAAGAAAAAAAAGAAAGAATGGTGACTTTGGTCTCTTGTGCCTATAGCCTCCGATTGTGCTGTCCTTTTTACTCCACTGGCAAGATGAGAGCGACTCTGTGCAATTCTAATCAGTGCAATGGCAGAAAAGAGCGGGAGAGGTAGGGTAAGGTTTGAGAAATGATTTGGGTTTCTGGTATTTGTATGGGAGGGAAAGAGGGGCAGGAGGGGTGGGGATGGGGTAGAGACACAGATGACAAAGAAAAGTGTGTGTGTGTGTGTGTGTGTGTTTGAGAACAAGAGGCAAATAGTGAGACGGAGTGCGGGAGAGCGCAAGACAGAGAGGAAAGGGAAATGCAGAGGGAGGGGAATTGATATAGTGGGAGAGAGAGGGAGAGAGATGGTTACGTGGAGCAGCACCCCACTTCATCAGGCAGCATACGGCAGCCCTGCAGTGCGATCACACAGCATGGGAATGGGGCTATGAGAACAAGGGGAAGGAGAGCAGAGAGAGACCAGAGCGAGAAGGTGGGGGGGGGGAGTTAAAAAAGAAGAGCTTGAGGGATTTGTTCGGTTGAAAATGGGGGATGATCACTGAGTCTGTTGCCCTGTCGTGGATGCTGGAAGAAAAACGTGGCATCAGAGGCTGAGGTTGAGGCAGGTCTGTGGTCTTCTGTGTTGAAGAGAAAAACCGGCATCAGGACGTTATGCCCTGTGAGCAGTGAGGGATAGCGTGTGTGTGTGCGTGTGTGTGTGTGAGTGTATTTGTGTGTTCCAGGAACAGCTGCTGTAACCGCATCTGCGCTGCCTGCATGCCTCAGACAGGCAAGGGATGCAGCAAACCTCTGCCCTGAGCACAGAGGCTGCTGCTAGCTGTACCCAGCGAGGAGAAGGACCAGGTGGGCTGGGGTAGGAGTGTGTGTGTGTGGGGGGGGGGTGGGGGTTGGCTGCCAGCCTCAAAGGGAGGCTAGCTTAACCCGCACCGTGGTCCCTTCAGTGATCCTTTGCCACAGAGTCAAGAGGCTCACCTGCCCCGCGTTGGATCTGAAACCGGATTTACTGCTTTGAGAGATGAGCAGAACGTTCTCTGGCACAGCCCGCTGAGGAGTGTGAATGCCGGGCAGCCCAGGGAGCACTGGCACCACCAAGGACACTGAGCCTTTTTCTCCACCGGCAGACAGCTCACCTGGAGCTCTGTTCAGGAATATTTACTTGGATTTGATGATGAATTGAGGAGTTTGGAATCTGCACACTGTGGAAATCCCTAAGCCAACGTTTTCTTTGATGTAGGATTTACAATATGTCTACCTGATCGTACTCTGTGTGGCTGTGGAATATGGACAAAAATATGATTTGAGCAAATGTGTGTTCCTTGATGAAAAATAACACGAGTACCTCAACAGTGCTTTAGAATGCTGCTACCTTCATTGTACGAGCCTTGTCCTAGCTCTCAAAGAGGTTGACCAATGAAGCCATGGGACTCAGCCAGAGCTTTACAAGTATGTGGTGACAACCCTACCAGATTCATATTCGGGGAACTGCAAATATTTTGGGTTACATCGTGATGGAGTCATTTCTGATTTAAGGATAAATGACAGGGGAATTTCTGGCATACTGAATAATGTGTGATATATGAAAAATGTGTGACTTAGTGACAGTTCAATTCAGTTTTTCTTCAGCCTAAAAACACCTACTTTGTTTTGACTTATACCGTCAAGAGTGACGTTTTTTTGGGGACTAGCTATAGGACCTTTTTTTGCCACACTTGCTCATCTGCTCACTAAAGGAATGTTTAGTGAAGCCCGTTTGTTGGAAGATGCCACAGTGGCTCAGTCCAACATAACAAACAGTACCAAGCTTCAGATGGGCTTCCTTCCCTGCACTACCTCCACCCTCGCCTGACATCTCCGGTCAGTCACACTTACACCGGTGGGTGTGATATTGGGCTAGTCAGTCCCCCCCTGCAAGGCCAGAGTGGCGCCTGCAGCGTTTCCTATCATCCTCCTCCTGTGTTTTCAGTTTAGCCGGGCCCCCGCCCGTACTGTGGGAGCCCCTCTTTCCCGGCCTGGACCCTGTCTCCCCCCCACCCCGCCTGGTGCTGCTGCACTCGGCTCTGCCTCTGCTGGCCGAGGATGATGTGGCAATGCCATGTGTCGTCCTCTGAGTGCCGCTGCTACCGGCTGAACGGCTTCTCCCTGCTGAAGCGCTTCCCTCTCTCGGCAGATGGGGCATGTGGTAAAGCCCTGGACCAGCCGGTGGGAGAGTGGCTGGAGCACGTGGGGCTGCCGCAGTATGAGAGCAAGTTCCTGCTCAATGGTTTTGACGACCTACGATTCATGGTGAGTCACCTGCAGCATGCCTACCCCGGGCCTCAGTTCCACTCTACATCACCCCCCGTCCCTCCCTCTGTCAGACCAGCTCCGTTTGTCTTTTTATGTCACCACTCTGCTCAACCCAGCCTTGTGTCTTAAAACCCTCCCCTTCCCTTTCACACTCACCCTTTCACCCCCCCCTTTTCATAACACTTTCCCTCTCCCCCTTTATAACTCGCTTTCACCCCTGTGCCGTCCATGACCCGGCATAGATTTATGGCTCCTGACTGAATCCTTTTAAAGAGCAAGGGCTCCAACCAGCAGCAAGACAAATGACAACAAAAACACATCAACCAGCCTTTCCAATCATGCAATCTCTTTCACCAGACAATTCCCTCCTAATGAATCATCTTATTTACAACCACAGGACTCAACCTTGATGAAGGCAAAGTTAGATGATCAGGACAAACAATTCTCTCCTCCTTCTAATACATTTAGCAAGATTTCCCAGACTCTCATTTAATCCGCCATCCATTCAGATGTGCTCACCATGCGTGTGACGCTGCTGAGACCCTTGTGCAAACCCTCTTCAAGGTACGATTGCACTGCAGCAGCATGCTGTAGTGCTGTATTGTGGTCGGCATACTCATGTGCAGCACAAGTCCAATGCACCTTTTAAATGTGGATTCTGATTTTTAAACTGTAACCTAGCCATGCAACTTAGTCATGTAACAAAAAGGCATTCAAATCCAAATGATATTTCCAAAATGGTGCTTAAAAAAAACATGATTATAGAGATATGTCTTCCTGCAAAACACTAAGGCGTTTACCTCCAAAAATGGTTTTGCACGCCTAAATAAATGGTTACAAAGGATGTTCAAAATCTGAATGAAAGCCTTATTATGTTTCCCATGAAGAACAAAGCAAGGAAACAAAAGAAAACAGCATTTTAAGGCCTTTTTCCTCCACCAGTTGGCTTTCTCTGAAAACGTGGCTGTACATTGTAAATAATCAGGCCCAAAGGGCTATTGCGAACATTTGTCAGACCTTATTAGTACCTGGGGCTATGCTGTATATTACATCTGTTAGTCACAGCTGAGTTCAGCTAAGTGAGACCAGTGAGCTCAGAGGAAAAGGTACTTCTATATTTCTGTTTTGTCCTCTTTTTCTGGTAGGGAAAGTTCAAGTTCACAATCTCACTGTGAGGTACAGATGTAAGCTTTATATATAATAGGCGGTGTAGAAGATGGATGGATGGATGGATGGATGGATGGATGGATGGATGGATGGAT